ACACTTTTCTTTGGAGGTGCCAGATCTGAATAGGTTTTATCGTCCATGAGAGGAGCTTTAATTGTCTTATGAACCAGCTTGGTGGTTTACTTGTCTAATAAATATTTTACTTTATCACTTCATATTCATATACATGGGGAAAGAAATGTTGGGCCACCGGAACTTTGCACAGATGTGAAAGTGGAAAATGGCAGTATTTGACTCAATGTGCCGTTTAACTTATCACACAGATGTGACGCCGTCAGGGGAGTAATTTCCAGCTCATATTGAATAATTTTGAGTTAAATGCTTTAATGTTCATTGAGTTACTTTCCAAATTACTCTGTGCAGGTAAAGGGATTGATTCACACTCGAGCATCTATTATTCCATGTAGATGTCAAACTTGTCCCAGCAGCTTACTTGGTCGTAGGAAAGGGCACAAGAGGTTTATGATCACTCACCGAGGTAGAGGAACCAGAAACAGTCCGTGGCCTTTCGCTGCTTCACTGGTGGGCCGCGATGAAACAATGTAATGAATTGGAGGACAAAAAAAGCTCCACACAGAATGTGAGTAATGGTCCCCATCAGTGGCGGCTGGAAAATGTTCTAGGTAGGGCAATCGATTCAATTTCAGCAAACATCACAGGTTGATTTAATGCAAAACCATAAACAGGTAGGGCAAAGCCCCATGCCCTCTATGGCCTGTCCCCACTGGTCCCTATACTTAAATGGTACTCAAGCGTTGCAGGAATTATATCCCGTATGATCCCTGCTGTGTTCAACAATCATGATGTTATGTCTGTTTCCAGTTAAGCACTATTTTAATTGAGAGATATGCCGGAGGCAGCGAATCATTGACAAGCAGCAGGATGGAACATGCATTAGAGAATGATCTCATGTATATAGTTTATAGCGCAAACCTTGCTGGGATTGAAATGAAAAAAATCGATTGGTATATTCAGATGAATGCAGCACACTTTTTCATCTTTGTATTTGCAAGACTTTTGGTGTGTGTGTTTGAAATGTGTTAAATTCAATGAGGTTACACGTCTGGGCAAAGAATGGTAACATTTACTTTACTTGACAAGCGAGTGGTGTATAAAAACGTCAGCGTTGACAATGCAGGTCCAATAGCTAACAACAATTTTGTTGAAATACTTTTCAATGCTAGACATTTTATTCACAATATATATTTGACTTTACAACTATGAAGGGTAAATCGCTTTCTTTCTTAACATTGCCCCTCTGTACTTGCCGTAGCGTAGTATAAATTCCTCCAAAACCGGAAGTCCCACCCCTTTCCATCCTCTCTCCGGCAGACTGAGTGAGTGCAGCATTTTCACATAAACAAAATCACAATTTCTATCATCATCCATCCTCTTTAGTGCTTATAACCACATACCCGATTTTGTGAATTTACACTTAATCAAATAAGAGCTAGATGATGAGATACTTATTTGATTTTCAAAGCTTTGCGCCCCGTTGTTATAAACCGTGAACTGACTCCATCTTTTTCTGCCCCTCCGCAGCCTTCAGTCCGCTGAAACGGCAGCATGGTAAGGGGACGTTTCTCATCCGCATACATGGAAATAGCCACTTCTGCATACCTGGACATGTTGAATACTGTTTCCTTGGACATGTCCCCACGTTACATACGAGTGGTGATTTATAAACCTTCACTTTACGAAGCGGCTAGCCGTTGTGATTAGCATTAGCATGCTGCCGCTAGCTTAGGCCAACCGGTCGCACACGAATGGCGTGTCCACGATCCCGTTTGAAAGTTAGTCGTTTTTTTAGCGCTGCCGTAGGTAACTAACACGACCCTAGCAGTGTGTTCGGGTAGATACTATAGAGCTAAACGTCCAGAAGTTTCCTGTAGCGTCTCATTGGTTGTCCGATATAAGAAATCTAGTAGTGACTTTCAATTGAGACAATGTTCTTGTCATCTGCAAGGTATGCAAGCATCTCAGGCTAATGTGCTCGTGAGGCTTTTTAAATCTTGCAAGAGTAATGATGGACCTAGTGCTGGGTTTCGATTCCTAGCAGAAACGTCAGTTCCACCGGTCCCCTGACATCACGTTGTTAAAACTCAATCTGTGGACTTTCTTTTTGCTTGAGAATAACTTACCTGCTTGGATCTTTTCATTTGCAGCCTCGCCAAATTGAAGAAATCAAAGATTTCCTGCTGACAGCCAGGAGGAAGGATGCCAAGTGTAAGTTAACAGTTCTGAAATTGTAAATGGACGTCATTTACTTGATGTGTACACTTTGAGGTTGTTGGTCAGATCACTGTTGGCAGTTTCCCAACCAAACTGTCAATGTGTGCTTTGTTAATCATTTTTTTTTGCCCGATTAACTTTCTTACAGAGGATGTAGACTTTTAAGTTTCTTCAAATATAATTGCTAGTGCACCAAAAGCATCAAAATGTATTATGCAAGCAAAGCCTTGGTTTGTGGCGGATGACCGTAAAAAAGGTTAATTTCCAGTAATGGTCAATGTTTTTTTAGTTTTAGGAATCGTTCAAATGCACACTGCAGTTGTCGTTTAATCCCAACTATTTGTCTTCCTTCAGCCGTAAAGATCAAGAAGAACAAGGACAATGTTAAGTTCAAGGTGCGCTGCAGCAAGTTCCTGTACACGCTGGTCATCGCAGACAAGGAGAAGGCCGAGAAGCTCAAGCAGTCCCTGCCACCAGGTCAGTTCATCTCCACGGCCTGTTTAAAGCTACTTTGTGGAGTTTGGGTCCTCTACTGGCTTGGCTGCTACGGTGGTTTGTATTCAAATCGTTGCAGCTGATCACTGAAATTTGGGCAGGACCAACAGTCAGTGTACTATAGGCTAATTGTCTAACTGAATATTATTGCAGTTTTCTACTTCATTGGTTTTTGTCTTAACCTTGTGTTTTGAACTTTTATCGAGGCGATCTGAAAGTGCTCGTAACACATTAACTTGTGGTTTTTAGCACGTCTACATTATTATCAAAGCTTAACAAAACTTTTTGGGGCAAATGACACCTTAAAAATCAAATGACTTACAAATTGTGGTTCTAGTGAAACACGTGGTGACCTGAGAGATGCAGAGTTGCGACATGAATTAATTATTGGACGGACTATAATATGGATTATGTCTGTTTGTGGGCATTTAAATGCTTTGGTATTAACAGCTAGTATAAAATTCTGCATGTTCACCTCTTTAATGGTAACTGCACAACCAAAGCCACGCTGTAGGTTTGTCAGATGTAGGAAAAGGTTATAGTAATCAACATTTTTCAATGGATTCTCAAATGTGTATTCATGACGCATTCCTTTAAAGAACACTTTGGAAGAAAGCGTTTTATTCCAGTTAATGTTTTCTAATCTGTTGTCTTTGTCTTTGTAGGTTTGGCTGTGAAGGAGCTGAAGTAAATCCGTGATGTACAGATAATTGTAATAAAAATTGGAAAACGTAATTTGTCGTTTTGTGTCTGCTTTATTGAAATGCAAATGTGGGTAGAGAAGTCCTTCAGACTGAGACCCGGCTTTAGTGTTCCTGCTTGTTGAAATGGTGTGACATCTTTTTGCGAGGCGTCGGATCTGCGCTTCAAGCAGTTTTTCACTGAACTGCCTTCTGTTCCGCTAGACAAGGAGGTTTTATGGAAGTTCTGTCGAGACTTGCCTGAACGGTCATGTTGCCGTACCTGCATCGCCACTGGTGAATTCTGGGGGTTTATGCAGTACATTCTCCCATTTAAAATTAGAAAATATGTTCGCTCGAAAGTTTGAAGAAATATTTGATGGGAATGTATTGTGCTGTCCTGAAAATGAATAGGAGCAAGTGTACTGTCTTTGATAAGGACTAAGCGGTTTCTAATAAGCCGCAGACAACTAACTTGCATTGTGCCCCGAGGTCCGATCACACGTGTGTGTGTGGCTAAATCCTCTGCTCATAACTGGGTGGGAATGGTAAAACAACACTGGTTAAAGTAAGTTCAAGTCTTCCTTCGAAGTACATTCAGTCACTTACTCAACTTGTCAATCTTCACGTTTCCATCCTAAATTCCTGACTAGCAGAGGTAATTTTTCTATTAAATCCGATAACTATCGGGCGGCAAAATTATGGAATGATTTAAAATGTGACCAGGTGTGTTCCAATTTTTGTTCATTACTATGAAATGCACACTTTTGTCATATTTCGTTTTGTAGCTTTGATATTCTATAGGTAGTCTTCAAATAAGCCCATTTGTCTTACCTTTTCCTGCACAGTGAGACTAATGTCTATTTTGTATGGCTTAAATTGTGCAGATTCATAAATACACTAAACTTGGAGGAAGTCTCCACAGATGTTAATGCCCCAATACACGACTTCATTCTGTTTTTCAAAGTTATTTTTGATGTAAATAAAGTTTAAATTGGTCTCGGACGTCCCTTGTGAGGACATAATACACTTCTTCTTTGCAAGTGTCTCAGTTGACCACTAGGTGGCAGTAGATAACCTTATTTTGCAAATAAACCAACGATACAAAACTTAAAACAAACATTCTGTCAAGATTTAAATCATACCACAGCACATTGATTACGTGTGTATGTCTGACCTTTATGCCAAAAAAACAAAAAAGGTTCCGGTATATTCATAAAAACTCCTCACAGCGGCGTCTTTGCGCGCTCCCGCGCACTATCTCCTCGGGTCCTGTCTCGGTGCGCGCTCCCGCCGGTGACTGAGAGTCTGGAGCAGCTGTCCGCTCGGAGAGGAGCTCGCTGGTCCCACGCACGGACGCGCACTGTGACTACTTCTTTCTCCGTGTAAAAATAAAAAGAATAATACCCGCTGGATTTTACTTTGCAACGACAGACTCCGCGCGACTTCTTCTCTCTCTCGCGCGGCTGAGAGCGTCTCCACACACACGCACACACACACACACACACACACCGAGCATGCTTTTAATCAGCGCCTTTGTTTGACACGAGACGGGCTTCAGACCTCCGCAGTCCGCTCGTCCAGGCTGCGGCAGAAGTTTTCTTTTTAAAGCTGTCTCGGGGCAGCATGTCTTCGGCTCGAGTGGATTACATCGCGCCCTGGTGGACTTACTGGCTTCACAATTTCCCCCACATCAACCTGAGGTTGCAGCCCGTCGACAGCAGCTTCCAGCCCGAGGAGGAGAACTACCAGCAGGTCGGTGCAAGGAGATGCAGCCTAAAAGGACCCAATGTGCCCGGACACCGTTTACATACACGGCTCGTCCCCACTGAGCTCTCCTTAACTCCCATTGTCTGCACCATCGATGGAGCGAGTGGCCCATCGTGTCTCTGTGGCGAGTCCACCACGTCTGTCCAGTCCCCCATTCATGAGAGGACAGAAAGAAAGTGCTCTCTGTTAGATGTGTTTACAGGGTTAGTGCTCGTTCTAAAAGTCTTCTTTGCAAAAAAAAAAAAAGTGGGCTTGATATTAAATATCTCGTAAAGATGCTACTGCTCTCAATCTGACCTGCTTTTCATTTATTCATTTTTCATTTATTATTAAGTCGAATCTAATAAGTCCCTCAGGGGAGACGGCGAGCGGAGGCACACTCCAGTGTGAAGTAGTGTTGCCCCCCCCCCCCCCCCCCCCCCCCCTCTCGACTCCAGACGCAATGACAGGACGGTTTCACACAGCTTGCAAAGCGGCGGGTGACCAACGACCCGCTTGTGCCCACATGTCAAATCCTGTGAATGATTTATGAGTTCAATGTTCAATCTCTCAGTGTCACAGCGTAGCGTCCGTCAGTGCGCGTGGGCCCGTCATGGAGGGGGAGCGTCCGAGAGGAGCCTCATGAAGATGTGGAAGAAGTGACAGACAGCAGAACAACTTCAGGTTAGGGGAAGCTGTTTTTAAATAAATAGGAGACGGTGAACCACAGACCGGCACCGGAGTCAGAAGAGGGAACCCCCCCCCCCCCATGCACCATCATCCCAAGCAGCAGCCCCTCTCATTTGTTTTTTTTCCTCTACAGATGTAGGTCAGGTCCTTCACGCTCAATTCATTGGAGCAATTTTCCGCAGAGCACCGACGCTAACGACACCATTTCAAGCGAAATGCGGCGCTACTCGTGCCGTGCGGTCCCCGGCTTTGTGCGGTCCCCGGCTTCGTGCGGTCCCCGGCTTCGTGCGGTCCCCGGCCTCGTGCGGTCGTGTCAGACTTCCCCCTGCTCGCCACCTCCTTGGTCGACTGCTTTAGCGGCAGTGATGATACGCTGCATCCTGGATATCGCATAAACAGTCAAGCACAAAGAATGTGTGTGTATATAATGGTGAACTATGGAGACGCTGTGGTGGTAGTTCATGTTTTATCCAGATGGTTTGTGCCCCGGGCTGATTAACGGCGCCCAAGCTGCTTTTCGTGGGGAAGAATTCCGTCTCAAAGGAAGAACAATGAAGCTTAATCGTCGAGCAGTGTAACGGGGAGTCCACTCTTTTGTTCACAAATTGCCGAATCAACATTTTTCTCTGTTTCCGCGGTGAAGGACATCATCGAGTGGTTTTTATCCGGACAGTGCGCCCATCCAGGGGAGCAGTAATTGGCTGGTCGCATTGTAGGCCGTCCTGGTGGACTCCTCTGTTGGCCTCGGGCCATTGGCACGTGATGGAATGCAAAGGGCCGAGGTCCTTCCACTGTTCTTTGTGTGCACGTGTGTGTGTGTGTGTGTGTGTGTGTGTGTGTCCTGTAGTCGGTTTCTTCCCTCTGTCTGATTGTTAGTGAAGGAATGTCTGAATCACCCGACTAGACTACTCTAATTTCTGTCCTATGACAATAAGCAAGCTATTGTTCATCGTCCACACACACACACACACGTACGTTTTGGAGAATATCATCTGGAAGTGCAGAGGTTCTGTATGGTTGCGGCGACTTACAATAGGTCGTTGTTGTTGTTGTTTAGGAACGACGGGCACTTTGTTCTTTGGCCTTTTCTGACTTCCCCGAAAGAAGGTGACACCTCGGCGTAGTTGGGGATCACTCGGGGAAGATGCACAAGCTCCTGATCTCCTTTGCCATGTCGGTCTGACGGGTTTCATGTATTTGCCATCCTGTCCCGGGGCCTGGAGGACGGAACGAGGGCAAAACCTGCGATAGTTCATCCCAAAATAGGACCGGGGGCCTAGTTTTTCTAATGTGTGTGTGTGTGTGGAGCCAGACGTCACGTATCGGTCAGCAGGTCCTAATCCAGCTGACTTTCCTTCCCACTTCCTGCTATGTGAACCGAACAAGTTTGTGCCAAATTTTTCCCAAAACCGGTTCGTGGAGCGATGCAGAGTCCTTAAACCACAGATGAGTCAGCGGTTTTGCACTTTCCTCTGTCGGTCAATGAGTTTTTAGTGAGTCGCACATAATATGATACGTGATAAACGCAAGAGATTTCAACTTTTAGTTCTTCTGTGAAATAGAACTCAGTCCTGTGGTTTGTCTAAAGATTAACGTTCTACTTCCTCTCATTGGATTCTCACTTCCCACTTACTCTTTGAAGAATATCTCGCTGAAGTATCACAATCTCGCGTTTGAACGTTATTGCTCCGCGGCCGGGGGTTTATCGTCTTTATCTTTATAGAGGGGACGTGTTGTTTTTTATAGCTTCACGGCCCTAACTGACACATCTAGGTTGATTAACTCTTCCTTTGTTGGAGTTTAAAGAACCATGTGTACCATTTGTCCTTGACACAACGGCCTGCACCTCTTTTCGTGTCGCCCCTCATCGCTTCGGGCGCCAGGGCTCAGGCAAGTTTCTCTAAAGAGCTTTTATATCGCTGGTCCGGCGTCCCCCAATGAATCTGCATGAATGAGGCAGCCACAGAATATGCTCTCCAATCACGCCAGCGAACCTCGACAGCTCCTCTTCCAGACCTCTGTTACTTCTGTTGTCCCCCCCCGCCCCCAAACCCACCTCCACCTTCTCCAATTTGTGCATTGATGATAGATCTTAACATACGAAATGTGTGTGGAACTGAGAGGACAGGAACCGGCTAACGTCCCTCAAGGGACGCCCGATGCCGTCTCCCGGGAACGTGTGATTGTCTCTGCTTCAGCCCCTCGGCACACAAAGCCCTTTCTCTGATTACAGCCGCTTTGACAACTGGCTGCGTTTTCTGTTTTTGTGTGATTGGTGGATGGGATAGATTCTGCATACCGAGGCTTGTGAAAACAATTCAATTATTTGTTCCCCTGCGACGACTCTGATTGCATTGGAAACGTATCGAGAAAATCAATCTCAAATCAGTCTTGAATTCCGCGCTTCTTGTCCCAACTCTCCCCGTTGGTGTGACCTCGTTGCTGAAACGGTTCACCCGTAATGTTCTTAGTCTTTGCTTGTGTCGTGCATGCGTGTGTCCCTCGTCGTTGACCCCGATCTCATTCACTTATTGGCCACGTAGACGGTCCTCACCAATGAGGCAGCACGTCCATCCAGAGCATTTAAACGGGATCCAGCAGAACTATGCCGGGGGGGAGGGGGGGTTGTAATGTTTTTTTGGGGGGGGTCTTCTTCCTTTTCCCCGTGTGATAGTGGTGTGAGTGTGGCTGTAAGGAAGCAAACTGGGACAATGGGATTCACGCAGCCACATTCCCCTCCAGCAGAGACAACAATGGAAGTGTGCTCTCTACTCAGGAAGCAGGGGGAAGGCAGGGGGGCGGATGGGGGGTTTCCTTCTGTTGTGGGGGTGCAGAAAATCCAAATCGCGACCTCCTGACTCCCCCCGGGAGGGAATGGAGGAGCTTGTGCTTTAGGTTCTCAGAAGGTGTCAAAGGACAAAGGGAGATGTCTCGCTTCACCGTACGCCCGAAGGTGTCCCGGTAAGCATGAGCGACACCCCCCCCCCCTCCCCCTGCAGAGTTATTTGGAAGACAAAATGAGCAGCGGAACACCTCCACGAAGCTCCTGAGACCATCGGTTCATTGAGGTGGAAATCTTCAGGGCAACGAAGCAGTGCCCCCCACCCCCCCCTTCCTCCTGTCATCCATAACCCGTGGGGCGGTTTGCTGGGACTTAATGGCGTCATGGACAGGCCGCTCTGCCGTGGTCCCCGGGGGCTCCCCTGTATGTCAGAGTGCGACAGGCAGCAGCATGGAGGAAGACATTGAGTCAAACTGCTCCATTGATCTTTCAGGGAGGGGGGGTTCTTCATAGAGATGATGCCACTTCTCAAGGTATTTCTTGCAGACGAATGCAGCCCTGGGTGGCAGTGTGGTTATTGTACAAGCCAAAGGAGGAGATGTTAGACTCCATAAGACTGCAAAAGGGACCCCCCCCCCTCCTCCTCATTCATGAAGACAGTTTGACAATGTCTTGGGGCGCTATGAGAAAATAACTGATCATTCTTTTCAAGTGAGGGGGTGGAAATGGTTCAAATCCATTGCTTTTGATGAGTTTTTCCCAAATTCATGGATGAACAAAATCAATGGCAGCCCTCTTTGTGAAAAAGCAATCCCCCAACGTCTCTACTGATTTCCAACAGAAAGGAGGCGGCTCCTTCTGCACCATCGGAGGTGGGCGTCCTTTCTCTGTCCGCGTCTTCGTCCTCAACTGACCTGACACCCGTTTAGTGCTTTTTCCAGTCGGGGGAAATGTTGTTTTCGAGCCGCGTGCTCACAGTGCACATCAGCGCGCGGCCTGGAGGCGTCCTCCACCTCCGCACAGCTGTCCGCCACCTGCTGTGCAGCGGCCACGCCCGCGGAAGGCACTTGGTGGCTCTAACACGACTGCATGCTAGTTGAAATCCGGCGCATGCCTCAGCGCTGCAACTGATGGAGGAGCTTTCCAGCTCCATCTATTAATTATGGTCACTACGTGTTTATAAAAAATGGATTGTCGATGGGCAGACGGCGTAAGGAAAAGACTATACGACACTTAGACTCCTCTTGTGTTTTCTGTTGGTTCCCTTCTGCTCCAATGAAGCACCTTTAAATAACAGCAGAGTGCCCATCCAAAGGTGTTCATTCAGGTCTGATTTTGTGGGGGGAAAATGATAAAAATCTAAATTGGCATATAATATATTTATAACCTTCTTTCTTCGAACTTTTGTTGGGAGCAGGATCCTCTTCCCAGAGTCGCCGCCATGTTTCTACGGTAGCCCAGAACGGACAATCTAAACAGTGGCTCCATACGGAGCCTTTCTTTCCGACATCCCATTAAATATGGATGCATGGACAACAGGGTAGATGAATCAATTACTTTATTTATAACCTATTTAGATTGGCATTTTCAGTACTTTTTACACAAAAAATGGATGGATTTAATGAAGGAAACAACAGATGGCAAAAGCAGTGAGTTAAATAATATTGAGCTTTAATTGGACGTACTTCATGAACTGGCAGCTTTGTGTTCATGAGCACCAGACGGTGGAAAGTTAAACTTTGCAGAGGTCCCCTCCGCATCATCCCTTCAGTTCGTCACCCTTTCGGGCAGAGCAGATTGTTCTTGTGTGTTTATATTTGCAGATTCAGCAGTGAGATTCATAGGTCTGCTCGTTGTATCGAGGGTCGGGGGGGGGGCTGAAGAAAAAAAGCTTGGTGTTATGCAACGTTTCGGCCTCTGGTGGGGGAAGTTATCTACAATAGGAGAGGAACTAGGCCGCTGAGTGAAGAGCGTGTCTGAGGCAGCCATGTGGACGAGGTAGCTGTGTCTTTACCCCCCCCCCCCCCCCCCCATGTCAAGCATTCTATCCTGGGCCCTCCTGGTTTTGATAACCAACAATATTCCCTCCATCACACTCTTCCTGTTTCTTTTTACTTCTTCTTCTCCTCTTCTTCAGTTAGATCTTTCTTCCTTCTTTCCTTTCCTTGTGTCCTTGCCTCGAGCAGAGTGGGCCACCCTACGTGAAGAACGAGTAAATAAGGTGTTAAAAATGTGGGTCTGCTTTTAAAAGGAGACTACGCAGAACTCATTCAGGAAGCAGTGAAGTGGTCAGAGCTGCCAATTTGATTTGTTTTTACCAGAGAGCGAAATGTGTGCACATTCCACTTGGTAAAAAATAAATGCTTTTTTAAACTAAGAGGAAGGAAAAAGGAAAGTGGCGTGTGTGTCTTTCACTGAATGGCTGCTACATAATTCAGGATCCATTACTTCTCTGCCTCCTACTATTGAGAAGAAAAGGACAGTAGAGTGAGAATGTCTTCAGATTTGCCACAAACGTCCAACTTGGACTCAAGAAGGAACTGATTATAAAGTGGTCACCGGTCACAATAAGCTCACAAAGTCTCCCGTTTTCCTTTCGTAGATTAAGAAATTCCTATGCTAATTATGGCAATTTGAGTTGCCATTAGGGTGACACTATTACAATAACAACTGGCTGAAATCTGAAAGGTGTTTCCGCTGGGTCTTGAGGCTCAAACGCCCTGAGAGTGAAAAGTCGAAGCAAAGTTTGTTCCTATTTATCCGTGTGTGAGGCTGTAGAAGCCCCGGCCAGGTCCTGCCCCCCCCCCCCCCCTCTGTGCCACATTCCCTCTATTCTCAGCATTGCCTGGCTGCAGAGGAATCACAAGACAGAGGCTTGGCAATTTAAGAAGGGCCCGTCACATGCTGCGTGCTTCAAATGGGCTCTGATTATTCTCCCTTTCACCCGTCCTCCACGCCCGCCGCAGGGCAAACCTTCCCAACCTGCGAGTTGCCATGGCGACGCCATCCACCTGAGCCCCTGCATCTCCTCCGGCCACCGCAATTAACTCGAATCCGCCTTCAGGACGACAGAAGGAGCGCCTCTTTGTCCCGCCTCTGGTGTCGCTGCCGCCATCCATCGGCCTTGAGCGCGGCCGTTAACACGTTAACACGCCGTGCATTTCCAGCTCGCTTCCGCACCTATTTTCATGGGGCACTGGAGAATATGAGAGAGCGGTAGGTAGGGGGGTCAACGAGGGGCGACCCTTTTGTCGGCGGACGCGATTTGAATCCCTCACCTCACAGCGTGAGAACAGATGGCTCCGCACTAAAAAGATTTCAGATAAACTAAAAAAAAAATAAAAAAAAGGAAGAGTAAAGGGGGGAGGGACCGAGCTTCAATAAACCCATCTGCTCACGGATGGATGTGGAGGTTCCTGTGAGGCCGCCTCGCAGAAGGTGAGACGGGGGCTGAAGGAGGATTGAGGCGGGAGGATAACAAGCTCGCGGGTCTTATTAGTCAGAGTAACTAACGTTAGTTTGTTTGTCCTCTGACTGGAGGACGGGGATTCATCTGGTTTTCTGTCCACTCAGCCCACAAGCCATGAAGTAAGACATCTCAGGCTTATGTAGGCCGTCGGGATCAGAAACATCTGACTGAACAAGCCAATCAGATCCGGCTCTCCTTCCTGTGTCACATGCAGACTCATTAGAGAGCACCGCCCTCTCGTCTCCCACCAGGGCTTTTCAAACCTTTGCATATTTTTTTGCACAGTAAGTCAGAGCACGCTGGGGTAAAGGATTCATACCCGTTTCCATGTAATATCCCACTGTTGCCTTAATTCTGCGTGCACAATAAAATGTGCACACTATTTATTTCAGCGAACATAACTGCCGCACACATCTTCACACGGTACATTCTTAACCACGCGTGTGCATTATGTCCCCCCCCTAGAATCATTCAATAATCTCCCTCCCTCTCTTCTCTCCCCCCCCCCCCCCGTAGTCGCTCATATTCCTGGGCTGCGTGGCGGCCGCCGGCCTCGGCCTCAACCTGCTCTGTCTGGCCGTCTACCTGAGCTGCCTGTGCTGCTGCCAGGAAGGAGGAAGAGGAGGAGAGCAAGAAGCCCAACTCCTGCTGCGTCACCTGGTCCGCTGTCGCCGCCGGCCTCATCACATGGTGAGAGACGAGAAGTCACGACTAACGGCTGATCCCAGTACACACACACTAACACACACTCTGTTGATGTCTTCCAGTTATTCGACGTTGGTTGTGTGTCTGTCTCTGTTCTCCCATTTGTATTCCCGCGGCGTTCAGCGTTTCTCTTTCTGTCTACATGCCTTTCAGGCCACCTCTCTTTTGAAATACCCACGGCTTCTACTTGCAGTTCCACAGACGCTTGTGCTTCGGGTTTACAAAAGCACAGGCCGTCGCCTTTTATTCCTTCTGATGGGATTCGTCTGCTTAGCCTCTTTTACTCCTGCGAGACATCGATGTGGAGGAAATATCTCCTTTCCATATTTTTGTCTGAAGAATAAAAAAAAAAAACATAAAATTCAGTGGGAGCTTTTGATATTTTTCCCCCTCTTTTGACATCCATCGGTGTCCCTGATAGGGAGCTGCGGCTTCTAGTTTGGGGCGAATGTGGTGGTAGAAGCCGTAACGGTGTGGGTGTACTGTGAATATCCTGCAGACAATGTGCATTTTGCCTGTGACAGGCAACTGGCGTGCCTATGCTCGCCCGACCAAGTTCATCAGAAGTAGCCTATTTATTTAGCCTCTATGGAAAACGTCTGTTCACACCGCTGGCAGGAGAATGCGGCACAGATAATAGAAAACAGGTCACACGTCGCTAATGGCAACAACAATTTACCAACCCATTAGCACAGACATGTTGTCACCGTCACAAAACAGAAATAAAGTATTCATTTAAAGCAGTATCTTAGTCTATTGTAGGATGAAGTGCAAATTGTTCAACAAACTACTTAAGGGATTTAAATGAGACTGTTTCGGGGGAGAAATGCTTCCGTAGTTTACGGATCATATTTGACCGAGTGCGATTTAACAGCCGAGGAGCCACGCGATGCAATTTGTTTACACTGGAGGCTGCTGGTTCTCATCAAGTCGGCGGTAAACTGAAAACCCAGCAGATGTGAAACGACATGACGTTTAGTCACTATAAAGATGAATAATCTCCGTATTATAGCTGTTAGCTGGTGCGCAGACGGCCCGGAGCGGTTCATTATTTCCATTTGGATCCAACTTTTCGTTCCGCCGCCGTCTCAAACCGGAAAATCAACCCCGTAATGCTCCTGACAAACATTATATGTTGTTCCAAACCATAGGGGCAAAGATTAGTTTAGTCCGTTAGGTACCAAAACACATGTAATGCAACGCAGTCCGCGCTTCCCCCACGAGATGGAACCTGTTAAGCAGCTTTAAAGTAGCTAATTGAGTTTGTAACCAGCGGAGTGGATATTTCTTTCCAATCATGTGACATTCCTTGGTTGTATTAAATTAAGCCCTCGAGCACCATCGTACGTCCGCCGCGTTTCGGAGAAGGTTAATTGTTTAATGGGAACCCTGAGAGCTCCGCGGGCTGCTGCTCGGGGTCGTGTGCCACCTGTGGGCCGACGGTTTGCCTCCGCCCACGTCCACCGAATGCTATTTAATACGGTGTAAATGAAAACAAATAAATGGAGGAAATGATTGTGCTTTCGTCGAAACATTAAAAGTAATTACCACCCTCGCCGCAAAGCTAAATGCCGAAAGCAGGATGATGAATGTTCTTGACGTCAAACAACTTTTAAATAGCACCTGTGAAAAAGCGCAGTGAAAACACTGATCATGCAACACTCTTACACTCTTTCTGTGGTTGCAGTGGGCTTCTGATCCCAACCGGTCTCCATTATGTAACATTTATACGTGCAGTTTGTTAAAAAGGCTCACTGACTTTGTGGGAACCCTCTTCACATTAAAGATGCATGTTGCAGAATCACAATAAGTGGAGTGAAAATACGGCTGCAAATAGAAGAAGCCGGGGACTATGGGAACGTCTGTGTAAGGACTCATAAAGTACATTAAAGTCATGTTGCATTTGGGATGTGACAGATTGGCCCACGATGGTGGATTTTCTCAGAAGTCCTGAAAGTCCAGAAGTCCTTGATTTGATTTTAAACCAAGAATTCTCCCCCTACATCTGTGTGGTCGTCACTTCAGTGTAGCAGCTCATGTTTTACATTAGATACTAAAAACATACCTAGAATATTGTAAAAAATCATGTGCCCGTCTGCTGAATAGAAAACCCATTAGCGACGTGTTTTGTCCTCCGAGTTGATTTTTAAAGAGCTTCCATGGCCCGACTTGATGACTAAATAATAACAATGTGAGATGAATGACGAAACATCCTTTGGGAAATCATCTCCTCTTCACGTGATTATGTCACTCCTCCGAATGGATGGCGCGACTGTCCTGTGCATTTTGAATTGGACTTGTCCAGAGGAAAACCAGCTGCATTTTAATCTGATTTTAGTCCGGCTCCTCTTTTCAACCTCGCTTCACCCCCCCTTTCTCTCCCCGCCCCCCTAACGTCTGCTCACAGTCTCGTCCTCCGGTCTGACTGGTGTTTGGCCGTGGCTGAAGCTGATGGGCCGCCATGTCCATCCTAATTAGCACCGGTGAAGCCGGAGCAGATGTGCCTGTGGTGTCGCACATTAGCGGCGTAATTGCGCTGCAGCTGCACACGCTGAGGACACATCTGGACCGTAACAACGCCACTGATCCTCTTTGATTGATAGTTTATTGCATAATATTATGAGTCGGGTTATATTATCACATCGTTCGGAAGACTTTTATAGAGTTTTGCTTTTTTTTTGACAACCATTTTTAATTCTCCCTTTTTGGTGGTTTGATATAAACCAGCAAATAAATACACACATAAAATACAAGACGTGTTAAAGAAGAAGAGGCCCTCAGGAGGGTGGTGTTTTTCTAAAAGCCTCAGTAAGTAAGTGACACTGAAAATACTTACGTAGGCAGCAGAGACGCTGCTTGTGTAGCTGAAAGGTTCATTTGTATGTGATAGGTGTCTGATGCCAAGTGGGGAAGAACATTTGTGGTTTTCCTTCTAGCAGATGGACAGCGCCGGCGCCGGCGCGGAGGTGTTGTCTGGTCGGTCCTTTTTGTCCCTCGACCTTGTGATCGCGATGACTCAGGAACGCGGTTTTCAGGATGTTGGATCCTGTACAGAAACGGTTCGGCACATCAGCAGCGGCGCTTCAAAGCCCTCGTTTCACTTTTTGTTGGGATCATTTATTTTTGATAACTTTCACTTCATTTCAGGCCCTAAAATCGTTTATTTTTTGGAGCATCTGTATCTCTAAAAGTGGAGCAGAGCTCCAGCAACATTCAGATGTGGAATTTGTATTGCTTATTTTAAGTCAACTGCATATTAAGGGGATTTTTTTGGGGGGGTGGTTTTGCCCGTGATGAGACCTCAAGGAGAGGAAAAGATAAAATGTCTATTTTTGTCATGTCAGCTGCCATTTCGGGTCAAAATTCTTTCTGCTGAAGCTCTCGCTTCCTTCTCTGAATTCCCCTCAATGTCTTCTATCCATTTATCAACATGACAGTTTATATTTTTGCTCAGTACATGGAATGTCTCCTCCAATGAAATTCATTCTCTTTGAATCAGACATTCAATGGAGCCGCTCTGGCAGCAGAGGAGGAGGCCTATTCTCTTTCTCCTCTCTCTGTTTTCCCAGTTTCCTTATGAAATAATTAGATTATACCATTAAAATATTTGCACGCTTCAAAGAAGTCTGTGTTTCTCTCAGCTACTTTTTACCCAACGCGATGTATTACGTTTGGTCCAGACTCAAGCAGATGAAAGGAGAGAAACTCCTGTGGTTGATGTTGTGAAAAAAAAGAAAATGCAGCATTTATCATCAATGTGGGCGCATGAAGGAAGGCACATCTTCTCTCTGCTGCTCTTTCCGTCCCTGTCGTGTCGTGTTTGTTCCCACCTGCATGTTTATCCACCGTCGGTCCGTCTCTTTGGCTTCTGTCTGCTTGCTTCACTCGCTGTCTCTCTTTTCGTGCCTATTCTGCCTCATTCAGTGACTCCTACTTTGAGGCTTTGTCTTAAATTCCATAAAGGGGGTAATAAGTTCCTCCAAAGTCGGCACGGGTGGTTTTTTATTTCAAGCTGGGGACTGTAGGAGCTATAAATCCCACCGTGGCACCGAGACGGGCGGGGGGGGGGTTTGTCGAGAAATATTTTGTGGTTGTTCTCAAATCCCATCATGCAGCAGCACAATGCCACAGCGCTTGGTGGGGGGAAGAAAAGACGCCCCAAAGAGACTTCTTAGGGTTGGTGCTGATTCTGTTTGTGCTCCAGAACAGATGAAATCCGTGGATGACTGAAGCCGTTTCAGATTATGCGCACACATGCCAAAAACCTGTATTGTATAATTTCTAGTTCAAAGAGGGTTGTTTACAGAAATGAACACGGAAAAACCGACAGTTTCCCGCTCCTGCGCTGCTGTAAAGATGCCTTCGCCGTCTGCAGCAGGCTTTGTTTTTGTTGCTGTGCCGTTCATCTGCACACAGACTTCAGGTTTCAGGCGCTTGTTTTTTAACATCTCGGGAAGATGTGCACAAAAAGTTAAAAAAGGGCAAGTCACTTGAGGTTGAACACGGTGGTGCGACACATTTAAAGGAAAAAGCACAAACTCCGAATGAATTGAGGTTGATCCCTTCTGATTGATTATGTGTCTCCTTGATGCTCCCACACGTCGCACGCCAGCGCCAGCTTTTCTAATCCACTGCCATCGATTCTGTTTGCATGACTGTGTTCACCTCGACGATTGGACGTTACTTCCATCTCATCTAAGGGACGGTCCCAAAGTGCCTAATTACCTCTGCCTTTTTTTTCTCCTCTTCCTGTTCACGAGTTGATGGAGAAAATGATGATAAAACCCAAACACCACCGTGTACTGAGCTTGCCCTCATTTATGCATGAAAGGTATACAACTCACCTGTGCCTCCACGCCTCTTCTCTCTGCAGCATCGCGGTGGGTGTGGGTTTCTATGGCAACAGTGAGACCAATGACGGCGTGTACCAGCTGACCTACTCCCTGTACAACGCCAATCACACGCTGGGCGGTGTGGACAGCCTGGTAGGTGGAACATCAGCGTCGCACACGTAACATAACATGCATAACATACACATCTTTTTTATTTTTGACAACCAAAAACAAAAAAAACGGTTGCGTTTGTGCGGCGTCATCAGGCAGACGGTTCGTAGACGAGGAGTCCGTCCAGCTGGAAACAAACCGCTTTGAGTGAAATGCTTCCAGAGAGCTGCTTGTGATATTTTTATTCACACACACAGGAGGAAGCCCAGTGGAATTCATTTATCACGCCTCTAAATGTTTTCGTAGTCTTTCTTTATGGCTTTTTACACGCTCTGTGTGTGTGTGTGTGTGTGTATGCGTGTCTGTGTCTGTATGTGTGTGTGTGTGTGTGTGTGTGTGTGTGTGTGAGTGAGTGAGTGAGTGAGTGAGTGAGTGAGTGAGTGAGAGAGAACCTTTTTCTATTTTAATCACACCGACGCTCAAAAGCAGCTCTCCGTTTCACAAATTCAACAATACGGATGAGAATATTTTTAAGTCCCGTTAAAGCAGTTGGGTATTTTACCTCCATCGATTTTTATTTGATAAAAAGTTTCAGTTTATATGTAAAATCAAACCCTTTTATGAGCATCCCTAAAGCCGAGGTTTCTACTTTGTGGTTTTGAAGGTTGTGATTATCCTAGAGGTCCGCCATATGTCGTCTTATAGAATGACGTCAACACAATTTGAAATGGTCACTGTGGGCACTAACGTAATCCAACGTGGATGCTATTGGGCTCATTGGAAACACATGAGTTCAGCTTTTTCAGTAATCCCAGTCTAAGACGGTTTAAGGATCGGAGTATGCAGAAAAATTCTGAAATGCACCATTTTCAACAGGCAAAAACATCACGGTTCCGTGGGTTTGAGACTCAACCTGAATCCAGATTCGGGACGATGCTTTTTCGAGGAAGCTCAGGGCAGAACCTAAACAACAGATTTAAAAAAAAAAGATTTCCTTTCCTTTTGCCTTTGCGTTTTTATGTTTTTTTTATGCTTAGCCCTTTGAATCTATTGTTGTTGGAATGTGCAAATAAACCCTTGTAAACATTAACCTGGTGCACATCCGCTGTGTGCTGTGACGGCGTCGGCGCCGGCCGAGGCTGCGGGGCGACTCGCTGTCGAAGAGTAGGGATTAAGTCTCCATCTGTGTTAATAGAGATTAATGTTGTGGCATGTGAACCACTTAGTGCAGTGACTCAATGCGGCCTCGGTAATAAAACCCTCGCGGTGAGGCCACGGAGCCCGTGTCCGTCCTTTTTCCACTGATAATAAGGGAACGCGATTCCAATGGCGAGTAGTTCTCTGCTGTCTGGCTCCGATTGATTGATTGATTCACCGTATAAACGATTCGCACCGGAAGCAAGTCAAAGCTCCGTGATTACTGATGTTGAAAGATCGGCACAGCGGCTTCAGACTGCCGGTTTGGGATCAGTTCTCGCGTGACGCGTTTGATTTTACGCCACTTCCAGATTGCGCCGAATTGTCGTCTCGTCGTCTCCTGTTGTTCTTGTTTAGCGGCTTTGTCCACGTTCATTTCTAAAAGTCCTACTGGCAGGCGGAAACAAATCCTCAACGCTCGCCTCCGGCATGTGTGAACCTGCGCAATCACGGCCTTTGTGTGTGTGTGTGTGTGTGTGTGTGTGTGTGTGTGTGTGTGTGTGTGTGTGTGTGTGTGTGTGTGTGTGTGTGTGTGTGTGCGCGCACGCACTTGAGTGACTTGATGGCACGCCGCTATAGACTGTTGAGTCCAGTTCTCGAGTGGGACAAAGAGCCCAGTGTGCCACACACAGTTCCCAGTCTCCCCCCCCACCTAATCAACCATGAGCCCCGGAGACAAAGCCCTTTGATGGGGCGAGAACGAGCAGCCGGATGATGAGCAGAGTCGGCATTGAGATCTGCATTGAAACCATCGAACAATGAAGGCCTCGCTGCCCTCTGGCCCACACAAATGCCTTTTTTCGGGCGCCTTGCAGAGAGTTTAGAAGTGGGCTCGCCTCTAAAGACCCAGTTTACAAGAGAGGAAAGGAAGGACGTTTGACTCATTATCGCCAGATGCTGTTTTTTCTCAGCCACGGTTGAAACCCTTGATTAGCGACGGTCTGGAGTATATGCATATGATGTGTTTATGCACACGGGAAAGCACTGCCCCTCTTAGCGAGAGTGTCAATTTGACAAAACACTTTCATGCCGGGAGAGGTGCAATTTGGAGTCTCTTTTACAGAGATGCTAAAAAAAAAAAAAACATCGGCGAGGCTGCTGGAGACCGGCCAACTGGGCATGCTTTATTCACGCTGCAATGGGATTGACATTTGGAGAGTTTAGCCATGCTAATAATAACTCCATTGTTCTGAGATGGGGTGTTGTGAGAGGTTTTGGACTGGTCCCACGTCTGGTTCAGCCCCAGATAGCTCCAGCCCCAGCTGTGACATCCACGGCCGTCTGTTTTTTGGCTTCGGATGTGTTGTTTAGCAGGTGGGATCCACTAAAGTAAACTACAGAAACCCAACGAAGTCGTTGGATCTGCCCTCACACGTTTTTTTCGTACTTTGTACTTTTTTTCGTTTTCACCGTACTTGCACAAACTCCCCCTTCCTTCCCCTGGTTGGGCCAATCTTTGCTCTGTGGGCCACGGTGTTGATTTAACGCCAGCTCAGTGTTTCATCAGCAAACCCGTACGAGGCCGCCTCTAAAAATCTCTGTGGGCATCGAGGATCTGAGAGGAAAGGAAGAGGGAGAAAGGGAAGAATATACATTTTTTTTAAAGCGATGTTCTGCCGAGCGTCGTTACCCAGGGGTGAGGATCCGGTCTCCATCTTTGCGTTGAGCGAGCTGCCGAGCCACTCCGGAGTTCAGACCCATGTTCCATTTCACGCTCTAACTCCCACATTCAATTTTAATTGAAGAAAAGCCTCTTCGCCTTCATGCACAGGCGGGTTGGAGAAGGAAATAAAAAAAAGGAATCATCCTGCATCTTAACCTTTTGTTTTACGTTAACAGATGCACTCATTTATCGAGTGATTATGGGAGGATTACTGGGGAAAAAAGGAGAAGGGAGTCTCAGATGCCAGCATACACAATAAAAACCAACTTTTGCCAGCAATAACTGACTCATCTCCAAGACGGACCCTCAGTTATGCGCGTGATTACAACACCTTCTGGCACGGGAATCTCTCCTCCGAGTACAAACTTCTTTGAAATCAAATATCCAACATATATGACCAGATTTCCATAGCCTGTTTGTTCCCTTTCCTCGAGCTTAAATCTGCGTTTGATATTTGGCTTTTACATCTCTTTCCGCCCAAGGCCACTTCTCTTTTGCTTTGTCAAGTTACCGTCACTTATTCCGCTTGTCGCGCTGTCTTCGAAAATGAAGATCCCACAGAAAAAAATCCCATTGCGGGCGAACGCGCTCGGCTGCACGCGTTTGTTTTGAATGTGGCAAAGAGAACGCTTGTCCGTGCCCTCCAACACATCCGAGCGAGGTTGATTGCTCAGAAGACTGGGAATCGGGTCTTCTCGATGGCTTACGCGGTGACGTTTAGGCCCGGGGCCAAGGAGAGATTAGCTGGATCGGAGGTCTCCCCAAGGCGTCTCACACAACGGGCAAGGCTCTGTGGTGGCGTTCTGCATCTGCCGTATCAGTCTGAGGAGGAAGTGAGCGATCGGGTAACAAGCTACGTAGCACCACAGGCCCGTGTGAGGGGGTCTCAGTAATTGGTTATTTTTTGATAGTGAGTGTTGGATCTTTGAGGTTATAAGTCGGGCAACGTTGTCACATCGCAGGACGTGTGATCTCGACAACTGAATGACAACTTTCTATGTTCTTAATACTTTTCATAATGGACCAAAACGCTTCTCTTCTTGTGAGGTTTGACTTGGCTCGTCAGCAAGTCTCCTCTGTGGCTCCGAGCGTTGAGCTCGAAGCCTCGCAAAGCGGCCCGGAGGGGCTTCGGGCTTCAGATTCGCGTCTGCGGCCATCTAGTTTGATTCGCTCTTAGAATGCGAACCCAACTAATTACTTCCACCCAAGCTCCCCTCGCCTGAGCTCCTGCAAATCCTCTGCAGCAACAATATGAGTTCCTTCTCCCCTGTGAATGCCAAGTACCCCGAGCTGAAAAGAAGCATTTATTACCCTTTTTAATTATCAAATAGCGGGATGTCTCTGTGAACGCCGTTTCCCTGTAAACAACTTCTCCCTTCAAGCAAAGTGCAGAGTAATTAAAGCCAAGGAAATGGGAGGAAGGGTCTGAATGGGACACTGGCCACAGAGAATTGGCCGATGACGTAAAATTCTGATGTGCGTGAGTCGATCCGCATTACTTTTGTTTGTCCCCTGGAGGAATGTAGGAGAGAGTTGCTGGATGATCACACGGCTGCATCGGCTCGAACAACTATTTCGCCCCTGCGCTCCGCAGGTTTGGCTGATTTACAAAGCTCAAATGTTCACTTAAAATGGACTCGCTCTACCAACACCCGGTTGCTCAGGGACACTTGGGACACGGAGCAGCCGGGGTTCGAAGTGGCCAAACCGTGCGGTTCCCGGCGCTCCCTCTCTACTCCAAGCGCCACTTTCTCAGGCAGTGATCACCACTAATGGCAGAGAAATCTGTCAGTGCATTTTTATTTTAGTAGAAAAGGATAGAAAACAGAGTGGCTCAAGCCCGCATGTTTTTCCCTCTTCAGTTTTGCAGAAGCGGGCCTTACTGTTACCGGACCGAATCACCACTTTGTCATTTAACTCATCAGTTAACTCATCAGCAAACATTTTTTTGCCTCCGTAAATAGTTCAGTTCATCAGCTTCTCGGCGCTCCATGTTCCGCTTCCAGCAGCAGTGCGAACTAACCTCCCCCCCCCCACAGGTGACGGGAACCATGGGCAGCATGAGGAGCGGCCTGCACCAGCACCTCGCCAGGCTGGACGAGATCTTCGCCACACGGGGCGACTACGTGCAGACCCTGCAGTTCATGCAGCAGATGGCCGACAACGTGATCAAACAGCTGCTCGGGCTGCCTGACTGGCAGGAGGCCAAAGTGGACCTGGCGTCCATCGCCGATCAAACGGCCAACGTGGAGTACTACAGGTGAGGAAAGTACACGTGTCGGGCGTGTGCGCGACCAGAAAAAACCCCTCAAAAAGTGGAACGCGTCCAGATCTCGGCGGAGGGCAATCGGGAAGTGAAGTGTAAATGTTGTCTACTGCTGCCATGAATATTTTTTGAGGGTTAAGTGCATCAGCAGTTTCCTGGGAGTCTTTTTCAAAACGCAACTGGGCAGAGAGCTGCTTGATGAATATGGATTTCTAGACTTTCTTCATACAGCGGTTTGTTTGGGAGAAGACCCCCCCCCCCCTTACATGTGGGATGAGACAATTAACAAATAAATGTAAAAATCACGTGAATATATTACACGTGTATATAATGTTAATGTAAAGTACTAGAGGAGCCGTGGTGCGTTTTAAAAGGAGAATCCAATGGAATGATCAGCAGTATTTGCATCAACGCTGCGCAGCCTAATGGACAACCACAACGCATTCAGGGTTATTATCCTCAGTCTGGTCTCATCACAGATAAACACACGTTTATCTTAAAGAAGAACCGGACCCAGCGCCAATTGCTTTGTCCTTGCGTAGGATTGGTGAGATTAATGTTGAGTCTGCAGGAACAGACGTGTGTTTTGTATTGATCTGCAACGGGACTCCCCTCCTCGGCCGATAGCTCGTTATCACGGCCTCATGCCCCTCACACATGGCTGTGTGTGTGTGTGTGTGTGTGTGTGTGTTTGTCTCTACATGTTGTTTTTTGACTCATCAAAGTTGGCATCATAAAGTTCTCGTGCTTGAATGTTTTGTTCAGTCGTCGAACTTGCTCACAGGGTTTGTTATGTTCCTCAACCGAGCAGCATAAAAGAGGCTCTTTGCTATTTTTATTCGTTCTTTAATCTGATTTTCTCTCAGGTTTTGACAACACGAGTACATTTTTGAGGTTTAGTCCTCCAGCTTTGCAGTGCTCAGGTATTTTAAGACGGGGTTTATGAACCTTTTGTAACTCGAGCAACGCTTCTAATTGGTAAACAAATGCGCGAAGGACATAATTCACTTGATTTAAAAAAGGAGAAAAAGGGGCAGCCGGTGTTTCTTTCGTTGTCCAAACTGACCAATTGCTCAGTTTTACGATTCATAATCAACGGTAGTTTTGCCGTCTGTTGAATGAATGATGGAATGAATTTGGCCGCAAACAATATCAGTTAGTCATGATATAAATGATCTGATTTGCATAAATTATACCATTTTCAGCATAGTTGGGCAACTTTCCTGCTCTCTCTCCCTCTTGTTTTCCTTTTTAATTTCAACACCCATTGACTATTTATTAGAAATACTCCATAGCACATACTGTATTTACCACCGGTGTGACCTACGTACACACACACAGGTACACACGAAGACCTGCTCAGACAGACGGACAGGAGATCAGCTCTAAAGAGAACAGAAATGCGCGCTGATTGGAGCAGAGAAATGTGCTTGTGTACCGCTCACATGACCTTTGACACTGCACGGTGCTTTTGTGTCCAGTGTGAACTAGGCGTCGTGCCACTGTCCCCCCGTAGCGGCCAAAACAAATATTCTGCCTACTCTCGGTGAGTCACTGGTCTTTGGGGTCATCGCCGGCTGCAATAATGAAGCTCCTGCTGTGACGGTTTTGTCCCACATGTCTCCAAATAACTCTCTCCAAAAATAACTCCATTTGAAAAAAAAATTGTTTAGAAAAAAAGTATAATGTCTCAACGCTGCACGCAGTTTGACTCTTGACTGGGCCGAGACAACACGCGCTGACGCCCCAGCCTCTCCTGATGTACCCTGCCGAGATGAAACGAGGTTGAAAGGGAGCGAGAATGAGGGGAGGGAGATTGACGTGCGGGACAAAGGCAAAGATGGAGTGATGAGGGGAGATGTGGGACGGCACGCTTGAGCTCCGGTGGAGACACCAGATGGGCGGGAAATAAAAGAAAAGTCCAAAGTGAGAATGATGTGAGGCCGATGAGCTCAGGAGGTACAATGGAAAAATAAATGTATGTACTGTGAGATGCATGTACTGGTAAAATATGTTGTAACATTGTTTTGTGCTAAAGCCGTGTCTCAAGTGTCCTGTATTTGACCCTGATGTGCAAAGAGCAGCATGATACAAAATGTTGGTTTGCAGCTGTGCGCTGAGAAGGGAGGACGGTCGACTCGATCTCATACAAGCTTCAAAACAAAGGACTTCTGTTCGTGGCCTTGGTTCATATCTTATTCTGTACGAAAGTTCCGGATCCACGTTTTTACTTTATGTCAATTAATTATGACTTGCACCGGCCACTGAGGAGGATCTTGTGTGTGTGTGTGTGTGTTACCCTCAGCTTCACCTGGGTTCTTATCTCAACCTGCTTTGCAGCTTCTCATAACTGGCACGGAGAAGGTCCTTCACATGTGTGTGCGTCTTTACTGCTCGGCCATTACACCGAGCGCTGAGATACGTGCTGGTGTGTTTGACCTCCTGCCTATAGGCAATAGTTAGAGCCAGATATCTGCTGAGAATTGCTCATGTAATCTTTTTCTCTTCTAAATAAATGTTAACTTTTTGACTTTATTTGATCAACGTGCTGCGATTCTTCTCATCATCAGCCAACTCGGGGGGGATCGGAGATCCTGACAGTATCCTGATGAAAGGGAAATTATATTAAAAAAAGGAGATGACCTTCATTTGATTTATCCATCGATGGAAAGGCGACGTGTGACTGCCCCCCCCCCCCCATCCCCTTTACCACCGTTTGTTTTTACAGCATAAAACATTCAGCCATATGGATTAGAGTCCATCCATTATTAACCATCTGGACAGGCTTTCCATGTGTCCGGTCAAAGACTGACCACTGCTCACATAACAGATGGGTGCGCTGAGGCAGGCAGCACTGGACAGGATTACACCCTCAAGCATCAACACACACACACACACTTAGCGCACTCGCACGCACCTCAGATGACAGCATGTGGAGGTGAAAATAAGTGGGACTCTCTGGTGGTTATATGAGGGGAGCTGGAGACGGCGTCGTTTCAGGCAACAACCTCCCGTCCTTCCTGGAGGGAGCGTCTCAAAACCTGCATTCTCTCCACCAGCCAGCAGGGGGCGCCTCCTCTGGTTGTCAGACTGTATAGAGGTCTAGGAGAAAATAACCCAGCTTCTCACTCGATTTCTTCCCTCTGTAAACCTTGTAAACGCGGGTGCGTGGTCTCAATCTCGAGTTTTAAGTCCTCTTCAATACACCGTGATGTTCATCGATTAAATAATCCCAAATAATCCTGTTTGACACACCGGTTGTGCCCAGCTGCTAACATGTGATCGGAAGTTCAATTAAAAGTACAGCGCTATTGTTACCGATAGGCAATGATGTGAAACACCGGACCAATCAAACACTGAACTGAAATGAACCTTTTCAACTTGTTTTTTCTGTCTCTTGTTTGTCCCCGCAGGTGGCTCACCTACCTGCTGCTCCTCATCCTGGACCTGATCATCTGCCTGCTGGCCTGTCTGGGCCTGGCCAAGCAGTCTCGCTGGCTGCTCACCACGTGAGTCCAATACGCCCTGTGAAACTGAGCTATTCACAGAGCCAAACAGCTGCGTTGTTGTGGTGTTTACAAGGAAAAGAGGCAGCGCTTTGGTGTGATGCGTGAGTGATTGAGTGCATTGAAAAGGCTCGCTGACTTCATTAAATCACAGCTAACATTTAGTTTTGGTCACATTTGCGCTGCAGCAGCTGCTGCGGATTCCATTTCTTTAGATGTCACGCAACGTGGCAGTGAACGTGCACGCTGCATAATGCTCACTTCTCCAAACAATAGATTATTTCGTGTGCATTGTCTTGGCTGAAACCACACTTAGAGCCACTTTGACATTAAGTGATGTAACAGGCTGCAGTTTTTTTCAATTTGAGTTCCGACTCTCGTCTGTTATTCCCTATTCTCATTTTCATGGGGCTCACATATCGACAAAGAATGAGATGAATACGTATGAGGCGGCGTAGTCGGAGGGAGCTGGAGGAGGGAGTTGCTTCACTCCTCGGGGGAGGGGGGGATTGCCTGTGAACAAGGCAGAAACGCATATTGGATCGTGTCGCTGTGCACACGCTGCCCTGCGAGAGCCCTATTTCAGCGTTTGCCTTTCAGCGTTGCCGCCGGTGGGTTGAACTTGCTCGCCGTGTTGCCGCGTCAATAGCTTCGCTCTACAAATTGGATTTGAGAGCTTGTGGAGAGACGCGAGCGAAGCCATTTGATGTTATCAGCAGCGTAAACTTCATGCCGATTTGTCGTTGCAGGTTAACAGCCCACCGGCTTTAAATGCATTTTCAACACGAATTGCATCCGATAACAGACACAGCGGACTGTATCTCCTGGCCCTCGCACGGCACGCCGTTCATTATTTAGCACCGTATTTTTAGGCCTTTTTTCCAGATGAATATTTGATTGACTTTACATTTTCATAAGTGACAAGGAATATGAATAAAAGAACACGCAGAATTCATTAAAACAATGAGTTTCAGTTATACACTGAAATATTCTTGTAAAAAACAAAATATATATAATACATAAAAGTAGACAGGAAGGGCTGAAAATAAATCTCAATAAAAGCGGTGCGTCAATATGGCTCCCACGCGTCATAATACATGTTACGCTGGAACGCGATTTAAAACTGGGCTGTACGGTATATTTATATCACATGCAGTGCCCCCTGCTTTCACTTAATCTCCTTACAGTATCTGTAACTCAATTACAGCTCCACTGGAATGTGATTTTTCTTTTTTTCTTAAAAAAAAAAAAGGGGGCTTTTCACAGGGCATGAAATCCACCCGGGCCTCCGTTCAGCCTGCAGAGCGTTACTCTGTCACTCGCAATCAGTCACTTCTGGGTGTGAGTCGCGCTAAACTTGCCCCTACTAACACCCCGCAGCGCCCGCTCGCGAGTGAAAGAGCACGCTCTGTTGGCAGAAAGGAGAGCCGGGGTGGATAACATGCCCCGTCACAAAGAGCCCTCTCTTTTCTGAAAAATAAAAAAAAATAAAAGTCCTGTGGAGCTCAATCCACTACAGAGGCGGCCAGAATCTCAGTGAGAGTCTCCACGCTGCACCTGAGGGGAGGGGGGGGGGGTGTAACCATGACGCATAGTAACACTCCTTAGAAGACAAAACACTCCCCCATGCGAGTCGGGCGTCCGTTGACTCTTGTCTCCTGGATCTTCTCCTTTCTCCTTGTCGCTGCCGGGTCTTTTTCGATTTGGCCCCCGTGGACGGATTTCCACTCGGCTCCACGGGAGGGGGAGTGGTGACCGAAGAACCTCGGAACGCAATGCAACATCGACTGGGTGAAGTGAACCCTCACGTGTCGTGATGCAAATGCGGCATAAGCCCATTTCCGAGCCTAACGTCCTGAATTTTCAAAATTGCACCTTGTGCAGAAGAAAAATGAAGGCGCAAAAGAAACTTATTTCCCTGGATGACAGAAATCTTTTCGAGCGAGGACGTACACTTGGAATAAATGTCATGGAAACAAACACAGCAAATGATTTGCATGCGCTGAAAGGAGAAGGAAAAAAAACAAACATTATTTACCGTCACAATGAAGCAAATGGAATAAACTGTGTGTAATATAAAGTACAGATGTACGCCGGGACTTTGGGAACTCTCAAATGTCTGAAGCATGGACGGATCATGAGACAACAGGCCTCTGGGCACAGACGTGTGTGCGGCCGTGAGAGACACACACAGACGTTGTTGTGTCTTTTAGTCATCACACAGGGTTGTGACTCATTATGCCTGTGTAGTATTCCGCAGCCCTCTTTAGATTTGTCCTGGAGTCGTATGTCTCTTTGTCGTTACTTTTTTTTCCTCTCCTTGTGGTCGTTTTGATTTTTAATGGTAATTTTGATTTCTAATAAACTGCTAATGTAGTCAATATATGTTCAAAAACACACTGGAGCCAGGAGAGGTGAAGAAACTCACTGGTTCTCGTGAGTCTTTGTGGTAAGTGTCATTTTAACGCTGAAGAACTCTGCACATCAAAATCTGGGTCGGCTAGAAATCGCTCGCTTCGAGACCCCGTAGCACACAACCTCCCGAGGCGAGCACAGCGCTCCGACGGATCACAATCACGAGGCGGAGGCTAAAATTAGAACTGGAGAGCGCGGTGTGATTCATGATGACGGGCTAATTGGCATCCCCAGTGTTTATCCAAGCCTCCTTTCAATCCACCTGACTTTTCATTGACACAAACAATCCCATTCTCATTCGGAACGTCCACTCCAACCCGAGGACGGGCCTGAATAGAATTGGCTGGTCAGAGGGTCTCTGTAAACCTCACAAAAACGTGCTTCGGGCATGGACAAGAACTTTTACGCCAGTATAAAAGTGCTGACATTGATTAAAGCGGCAACAGGACTTGCTGGCGGCGGCGACGTACGGCGCGCAAAAAAAGTAAACTTCCCCCGGTGATTTAACTCGGAGTGACATGACCTCATCCGTGGCGAGCGCATTTGCCGGCATCATCTGCCCCGCTCATTTACCTCTGTGATTTTTTTAACTGGATGTGCTTTTGTGTCAGGTTCACAACCCAATTCCTGCTATTCTGTGGAGCGCGCTGAGTTTCCTGAGCCGGTTTCTGTCCACATGCGGAGCAATCAGAGGGAATTTCGCCATTTCGCCCTGACAGCCAGTGTCCCAGTTGTTCAAAGAAGCTCCCGCACTCTGGTGTGACAAACCCTTCAACAGCAGAGCCCGGCAGATACGTGGCTAAACGGGTCCAGGCCCATTTTGGTGTTTAACCTTTTTAGAAAATGGCTTGAATTTGACTTTTGGAAGCCTGCGAAAGTGAAATATTTTAGTCCGAATCGGTCGTCTTTGCGATGCCTGATCACATCTGTGTGGGAGGGCACTGAGATTTGATCAGGTTTAGGAACCTCTGCGAAAGACACGCCGGACGGACACGTGCAGACACAAGTAGTGTAAGAAACCAAAAAAAACCTCCAAAGACTCCAACACAGTAGCATCAGCGCACCAGTGTACTGCGGTTCAACCACGGCGGACAGTTCCACGGCCGTTGCATCTGTTCTGCTTCTCAATTCAAGATAAGGGCGCGGATGTGACGCCTCGCTCTCATTGCCATCTGGTCCCTTGGGAAGTGTCGGGGCTCGGTATCGGAGGAGGAGGAGGAGGAGGGAGTGAAAAAAAACACTGAAATAGGAAAGCCGAAGGTAGAGAAAGGATCGGGTGAAAGCATTCGCTAAAGGAAAGAGTGAGGATGCAAAATCGGTGTTGGGAGCTCAGTATCTCCTCGGCACACAGGGAATTTGATTGGATTAGCCTGTGTTGAAAAACGAGTGGGTTCTGGACACGCATACTCAAATTCTGTTTAATCACTGGCGACATTCTGACGGGGGAACATCTGTAGTGCCACAGTGGTGAAATCAACAGCAGCTTATTAGATTATTCAACGTAACAAAAGCTCATCGAGGACCGCTGTTAATCCTTAAATGGGTATTGATCTTCTTCTGTGCTGTTTTTGTAGACAAAGACGGACCCGTCAACGCTCGCCTTTATGGACAAACCCCCCCCCCCTTAATGTCACGCGTGTCTGATGTCATTCGGGGAGCTCATCCGGGAGGGTTCTAGAACAGAACCACATTGTTGTGTCCCCACGGGTGCAGGAAGCAGTCCCTCTCCCAGGGGGAACGTAATCGGATGTGATCTCATCGACCCCCCTCCCCGCCCCCCCCACAAAAAAAATAACCTAACCTCTGACTTTAGGTTACTGACGTTTCCTTTTAGTAACAAAAAACATGGTGAAAATGTCAGCATCACAGTCCCCCCCCCTGGATGCTCTGCTGAGTTCCACTTGTTTGGCTTTAGTTTTGAGATGTCCATTAGTCATCTGTGCTGCATCAACTCGTTTTCGTGTGAAGAGGAGTTCTTAAGCGGCTCCTTGCGAGTGATTTAGGAGAACTCTGTCATGTATTTAGAAACTTGTCTCAGGTGAGAACACAATTCACAAGTCATCCCAGGATTGTTTATTTCATTCATTTAAAGCAGTTTTGAGTAAAAACCACACCAAACTTGTTGGATGAATGACATCACTTCCTGGTTGCCGTGGTTGAATTGCATTCAGTGCCATCGTGACCTTTGCTCTGTGTCCCCACAGGATGATGGTGTTCGGGGTGCTGACGCTGGTCCTCAGCTGGACTTCTCTGGGAGCCGAGTTGGCCACCGCCGTGGTGAGCTGCTCGGCAGTTATTTCGTTTCTCAACTTTTGTCTTCATGTCACCTCGCTGGCTTTCCGATCCGAGCTTTCAAACCGAACACTGCCCGAAATATAGGTCCCGCAAAAAGAACAAAATCCACGTCGCTGTCATTGCACGACACCTGAATAACAATAACAAGTCGAGGATTGCGGCTTTTAAAGCCCATCGTGAGTCATTTCAGTGTCACGCTCCATTATTGTCCCCGAATGACGACAACCCAGAGGACAAGAACCAGACTGATGTGCATAAAGCACAGATATCAGATGGCTGAGCACATGGCGTTCGACTCACCTGCCCCGGGGCAAGTGTGCTATTTTTCTCTGTTGTGCGCCGCGGAAGGTTCAACGAGAGTGAATTTAAGTTGGGGGATAATGAGCTTTGGGTGGAAAGCAGCAGGAGGTCCGGTCGGTTGCAGCAAATTAGTCTCTGGTTTCTTCACCCTCCTCCTCCTCTTGCTCCACAAGCCTCCGCTCCCCGTCTTCAATGTTTTGCCGATTGATGGTTGAAATCATCTCAGTTCAAAAGTCTGTCTGCACCGGCCTGAATACAGATTTAATTTGTTTTTCCCCCACAAACTTAATGCTCTAATTTTTTTAATTGCTTAATAATTTGGCCTCTGAAATGTGGTACTGCCCTGTGCCCTAAATTGTCTCAAATATTCCAGCAGCCTTCAATCGCCCCCTAAACACACTAGTGCCCTCTGAGAAATGTCTGAAAATCCCACCTGGGCTTTACGCTCCCACCGGCCTCGTCCAACCCCGACACCAACCGCTGCTGCCCCGCCGCTGCTGCCCCGCCGCCGCGGCCCGCTTTAAATGAGAACGAGGGTTGCTGCTTGCGCTCTAACGACGTCCACCAACACAGCCGCGGGAAGAAAAAAAAATGGCGAGTGGCGTGCTGACGGTGCGTTTGTTGGTCTTCCTGAGGATTTTTGTGCGAGTGCGGGGGAATCTTTAAATTCACCGTGTTTGCGTGTAGTCTGCTGCCAGATTAATGCATAATGCATCAGTGCATATTAAATTTGCCCCCCCTTTGCAGAACTCTTGATTGCAGATGGCGGGTATTCAGATCATTCTCAGAGAGTCACTGGGTTCGCTTGAGGAATTCAAACAAGCCTTCATTCCCCTCTATCCACTAGTCAAGTGCCCAGAGAAGGTCGTGTGTTTGACCTGAGCCCGGGGGACATTTAACATTCAAGACAGCGAGACCGCGGCGCCTCACTTTCGTTATTTTGGCCCGGGCCGGTTTTCTTGGCGGAGGGAAAGTGTTTGTGACTGACAGGATCGAAAAGGGTTTCTCTCCAGTCATGTTGAAGTGGATTACAAGAGCCGGCTGTCGTCTTTGTATTCCCGATAAGAATGAAGTCAGAGGGGACTTTAATGAACTATTAACGTCAGGTAGAGCATCTGGCAACTCATGATTCATTTCTTCTCTTGGCAAGTTCTTTGTGAATTTCCATTTTCAACCTCCTCATTCATCGCTTTCAAGTCGGTTCCTTTTCACTCCCCCGTTTTGGTTTCAGGGCACAAGTGATTTCTGCGTCTCTCCCGACAAGTTCGTCATGAGCAAGACGAAGGGCGTCATCGGCTCCGGTGAGGCTCAGCTTTTCTCATGTTGCGCTAGTGGAGTTGTGATTACAAAGGAGCGTGAATTGTGGCTGTGACACAAACGGCCCTTCAGCGAGAGTGAAAAGATTTAATCAAATGAATCAAACCGTGATTTGTTTATTTTCCCCCCACAGATATTGTTCATTACTACCTTTACTGCAACCAGACCCTCTCCAACCCCTTCCAGCAGGTAGGAAACTGCTGATCTGCAGACTGAATGTTGACGTATGAGGTCTAGTAAGTGATCATCGGATCTTAAGGTCCACATGTCTGGGTTCTTTACATTCTTACACTTATCCTTATCCAAGTGTTCATTTTGAGGAATTGACTGTAGATCCCTCAAATCAAAAAGCTTGGCTGAATTCAAACATGGTGTGAAGTTAGAAATATGTCCTGAATTGAATGGAGAGGCATCTGAAGGCATGATAACATGATATGTAAAAATGAGGAGGGGGTTTTATGTAACCAAGAAGTTTTAAAACTAACTGACTTGCATCCGATCTGCACCACAAGCCTCCAATCTCGTTCTCCGCGTGCTGTCGTCATCCTTCTCCTTCCCCTTTCATCATTTCTTCTGTCTGGTTGATTCGGGTTCATCTCCCCCCGGCCTCTCTCCTGAGGGTCAGCGAGGTTCCTCTCTGGAGAAGCGCGTTAGAAGCTACCGGTCCGGCAGCGGCGAAGTCGATGTCGGCGAGCTTGGGTTCTTATTATCCGGCCCGAGGATAACGAGGGCGAGGGGGCAGATGTCAGACGGCCGTCACCCCGCCTCGCGAAAAAACAACCCAACAGGTGCAAAGTTCGCCCGCGAGCTGCCAAATGAAGGACTTTGCTCGGCAGTCAAGCGGCCCGTCTCCCTCTCCTCGTCCCTCTCCCCCGCGTCTCTCTCTCTCTCACGGATCTTATTTCTATTCTCATTGTCTCCTTCTACTTTCTCCATCCCATTTGTTAAATGTATTCTTTTTACTTCATTTGGCACAAGCTGAAATTCAAATCGGACCAGGCTTCAGATTGTGCAGCGGAGAGCGATTAGACAGTGGTGCAGATCCAGAGGAAAAGAGCGGCTGGATCGTAGGAAAGCAATTAGATTCATGAATGGTTGAGGTAATTGACCGTATCCTGTTTAACGTTGTGCCACAGGCCAGTTGGGGGGGTCCAGGCCGCTTTTGTTAGCTGGCCTGTCTGTTAATGTACGATTTAACTTTAACGATTTGACAGATTTACGGTGATATGTATGTAATCTAAAAAGAGACATTGGGCAGAAGGTGCTGTCTACCGGGCAGGTTGTGATCATCCACTTCTTTGATTGTACAGAATGTGGAGGCTTATTTTGCCCCCTGCTGGTGGGAGCGCACAGCTGCACAACCACAGACGGATTTTAAAGTTGCAATGTAGTAGCGGGATATTTTTTATACTGAGCAATAACATGATAACATATTCGATCAAAGTCGAATGATAACAAATTGAGGATTTTCGTTGTAGTGCACATCCTCTTCCTTTCCTAGAGAAAATGTTTAGTTGTTCCTTTGGAATAAACAGTAAGTAAAAGTAAATGCCAAAAAAAAAAATACTGCTGTGTTAAGGGACAAGACGTATGCATTGAAAGTGCACCACGCCTTTTGACAAAAGCTCCGTTATACGGCCTCGACACCCTTTATTCCTCCATTAGGATGTTGTTTTTTTAAGAAGTCCACTCAATGATTTGCTCGCTCTTTTCAAACTTGTTTGCAGCCTCTGACCATCTTCCAGAGGTCGCTGACCACCATGCAGATCCAGATCCAGGGTCTGCTGCAGTTCGCCGTGCCTCTTTTCCCCACAGCTGAGGTAACGTCACCCGCGCACCGACTCGGCCAGTGCGTCATTTGTTTGCGTAATAAGTGTTTGTCTGTGATGCTGTCGGCCTGGTGACCTCTCCGCAGAGAGACCTGCTGGGTATCCAGCATTTGCTCAACTCCTCGGAGGCCGGCCTGCACCAGCTGACCGCCCTGCTGGACTGCAGGGGGCTCAACAAGGTTCGTTCCCTGCATCCTAATTGGCATCACAGCAGCACAACTGGGTCATCGGGAGACTGAGTGGCCACGCGAGATCTGTGCTTCGAAGCGGAAACCGGGGACGGAACGGAGCGACGAAATTTGTTTTTTATTTCATGGAAAAATGTGTTTTCCACCCGATGTTTATGCACCGTTAAACGTGTGCACAGCAACTCGCATGGACGATGTTCAACATCCCAACAAAGTGCTTTTTCCATCCTCACCACGCTCAAGCGTTCCGCGCCATCCGTTTTCGCCCGTTAAATGACTTTGTTTGCCCTCTTTAGGACTACCTGGACGCCATGGTGGGCGTGTGCTACGACGGGGTGGAGGGTGTTCTCTACCTCTGCCTCTTCTCCACCATGGCGTCCTGTGCCTTCACTGTCATGCTGTGCGCCATTCCCCGGGCGTGGAGACAAATCGCCTCCAGGTCAGTTCGTTTCCCCGCTTCTCTGCCTCCTTTCTTCAGCCTGCAGACATTTCTGTGCAGCTTCCCCCACCGTCCGAGCTGAAACCCCCCCCCACCCCGCCCACCTCCCAAGGATATAGCGTGTTCATCTTAAGAAATGTGAACTTCAGCAACAAAAGCAACTGTCTGAGCAGATCATACAGCCGACATCCCCACGTAAGGATTGATGCATGAAGGAACTTCATGACTTATTATCTTTGACTGTGTTTGAATAGTAGGACAACAAAAGTAGTTCTGCACAACTCTAAAATCACTACAAATCCACCTTCGCCGGCGCTCGCCGTTAGTTTACAGCCGTGATTTAGATTACTATAAGTTACACCGAATCCAAAAAATATGCGCCGTGTCTAAAGTTGAGATTTGACTTGATAGCTGAGTCATGACTCACAAAGGAATAAGTCTAAGGACTTTGATTACCTCCACGAGCCGTGCGTCAAAGCCTCTGCTGCTGATACTTGTCACCATGTCGCTGTTTGCTTTCTTTCTGCTTTTGTTTTACATCCCTACCGTCTCTCTCCCTCGGGGCCTGAACCCACCCCCCCACCCCCCTTTGCACCCGGGCCGTCTGATCTTTCTCCTCCTCCTCCTCCTCCTCCTCCAGGGAACGAGATTACGACGACATCGACGAGGAGGACCCGTTCAACCCGCGGGCGAGGCGGATAGCCTCTCCGAACCCCAACCTCGCCAACATGCACAGCTTCTGCAGCTACAGCAGCAGCATGGGCAGCCAGAACAGCCTCCACCCGCCGGCCCCCGCCGTCTCCAACGCCCCCCTGTCCGAGTACATGTGAGTGGGGGGGGGAAGCGCCGCCGCACGGAGCCCTTCCGCACGTTCCGCAGGTCTTCTCACCAGCCGCTCCTCTCTCGCTCTCTCTCTCTCTCCCAGGAACCAGACGGCTCTGTTCGGAGGAAACCCGCGGTACGAGAACGTCCCTCTGATAGGGCGAGGCTCCCCACCCCCCTCGGTGCGTTGGGTCCCAGAGGCCAAGTCCTTACTTTGATGTCCATTCCCTTCTGATGTCACAGACAGAATTAGCCTTTCAAAGCACAGGAAATTGTTTTATTAGACGTAACTGCTTTTTGTTCATGATTTGGCTCCGCTCACGTCCTCGATCAAATATAATCAACTTTCCTTGATTAAAAGGCACCTAACGAGACACGCTGCTGTAAAGCTTCCTCTGACTCGCAGAACAAAAGCAAGGAGAGGAGCAGTAATGTGGTTAATATTTAATCATGAACATCATTTAGCCACGCTCGGGCCACATTGCCCGCAGGGAGTGACCCAGGTCCTAAACCATAAACTCACTCACTGAAGTTTTGTATTCCACGATGAATTAATTCGCCCCTCGCTGGGCCGCTTGTCTCCTCTTACTCTACAGCACAGAGATAAAAATAGATACATGCCGGATTCATTGGTGATTGAGCCTAGCCTCTTAATAACGTGCCGTACAAAGGGTGAGGCTCAGTACATTCTGCAGGTTTTGAATCTACTTGAGATCAGGGTTCTGTAATAAACAGACACTTAGAGAGACATTGTTGTGGGCATCAGGTCAGGAAGCCCCAACGAAATTCCCGTCTTATTTTTGATAAATTGTATTGCATTCAATGTTGAGTGTACAGGTTTATATTTCCCAAACGTATGCACTGAAAACAACATATTTTATACTTTTTCTGTTGTGTATTACTGCAGTTTTATTACAGTTTGCAGTTATAAAAAGTTACACAAACCTACAGTTCCAACTTGTAAATACAAGTACTTGATACTTTGATGTACTTTGCCTTATGACCTCCTTCCAATTGAATAAGTACTGTAAAATGAACTCCCTCATGACTTGAATGTGCAGCATCGTGAAGTAGTCTGCGGCTAACAGCTACTTTTATTTATTTTTTGTTTGTTTGTTCGTCACGTGTATGTTTGTATCTTTTTCATTTCTATATTTCCTCTTTTGGTTTTACTCAACTTTTGGAGGTATACTCTGAGCAGTATAGAAACCGAGTAAGTCCTTTTTAACTCTTCCTCGGGGTTAACTCCCTCACTTTTTGTTGCATCTCTTGCCCTTTGACCTCCCCTCCACCTCACGTCCGTTTGTTCGGTTCCCGTGCCGTTTTCCTGTTTGGCATGGCTTTCAACTCGCAACCTGTTGTCGTCATCCCAGAGGGGCCTGTTTGCGTCTGTGAGGGGTTGTCTACCCTGGTCCTGGTCCTGGTCCCTGGTCCTCCTCACAGTTTAGCCTCCATGTGCATGCAGTTGTGCTCCAGTCGTTCGATTCCACAGCTGGCACTGCCACAAAGTGCGCGTCCGTGGAATTCCTTTTATCCGGGCATAGACGGATTAAAAGCGATGTGATCGATGTGTTAAAGTCCTCGGTATGACTTGAAGGCATACTCTGCGGAAAATCTATCTTTTGAGCATAAAACACTCCGCTCCTGAAGGTGTCTCTTACATATTTGTGACGTGCTTCTTTGTGCAAGGTGAGACGCAGAAGCTGCAGCGAGGAGACCCAAAGTTGTGTGAAATGTATCAAAACTTCCGAAACTTCCCCCGCAGCATCGTTCAACCCTTCTGCCGTTGACCTTGTAAGGAAGATGTGGACTTAATTTCACAGCTCACTGAACGAACCGGGCCCAACAAACAAGTCCAGAGGGGCACAAGCTCAATGGCTAAAGTCCAAAAAGGTAGACAGCAGGAGAAGAATGCACCAGGAACAAAGAAAAGGCTGAACATTGTGTAGCGGTTGATGATGATGAAATTTGGAGCATCTGTGCAGGTCGGTGGTGTAGCCAGAGCTGAAATGTTAGGGAATAGTAAAGGAAAGTAATTTTGAGTTTGCTTGCCGACTACTCCTGCTAGTAAGGTCACCTTTCCCTCCTACAAGTGGTGAGAAATTGTTACTCAAAAGATGGGTTTTCAGTGGATTAATCGTTAAAAACCCCCATGGCCATTTTCTTCCCCTTTCTTTATAGCAGCAGAAAAGGCTCAGTTTGTGAAACGTCCCCTGAGTTGTTTGCATCTTCCTCCGCAGTACTCACCCAGCATGCGGGCCACCTACCTGTCCATGACGGAGGAGCAGATTCGACACTTTGGGAACGACTTCCAAGCATAGACTTCCTTACCTGAAACGGCATCACACACACACACACACACACACACACACACACACACACACACACACACACAGGCTGTGCAAACAAGCTCCACACATCACAGAGGGCAGAGCGGGACACCTCATCACTGCAGGACGCCAAAGCCCCGCGCGGTGTGACGACTGAGGATTCGTTTCTCACTGCAATAAAACCCAGCAAAGTCTTCAACGTAAAGAAAGAAAAAGCTTCACTATTAAAAAATAATTTATCCATCCCTCGTTCTTTTCATTTGCATTGCAAAACTTACGTTCAGGTCTCCAAAGAGAACAATGTGGACATGGCCGCTGACGTTAACATGTTGTTTTGGATCTATCTTTGTCCATGGTATCTGTGAAGCACACAGCGGGAGGGACAGTTCAGGTATTTACATTTACACACATGTGAATCTTTACGCTTCTAAATGTCCCAGAGACGCGATGACCCTTGAAAACTACGGTTTTGTATATAATTTGTACATTAACAGACGGCTGTTTCATTCTGATGTGTTTTCTTTTTCTTTATTTTGTTTTACAATGCCAATTTTATATATAATATATAAAATTGTTTTCTAGTTTTATGTGGTGATCTCACATAGGATGACTATTTTTTTGTACGTTCTAAAGGGCCATTAACTAATGTTCTCTACATATCTAATCCCGCTAATATAACAAAGTTGCAGTTTGTAATGACTCGGGAAGCTATGCTGCTTTAACAATGATTAATGAGAATATTGAGGTAATATATTTCCCAACAATACATGTTTTTATTGCCTAGCATTGAATTACTGTAGGGATTCAATACATGCAGCTTTGTTTACTTACTTTTGGTCAGTGTCACTTTTTTCTAAGCATGTTCCATTGTACAGGCACTTGAAATGGTGCTGAATTTTGCGTGTGTAATTGTGAGTTGAATAAAACTGTTTTGAGTACAACTTGACGCGTCTTTACTTTGTTGTTGGGTGTTGATGCACTTTGTGATGGACACAAACGTCAGGCCAAGATGTTTGAAGCCGTGCGGGCAGAGGAAGGTGTTTTATTCTGCCAGCAGATGTCAGCAGAGCAAAAGACTGCAGCTCGTTGGAAACTGCATTAACTCCTTGTTGCGAACAGTATATTTCCACTTATACCAAAATATTTGATATTAACTTTAGAAGACACAGAGGTCCAAAGTAAATGGATCTATATTTGCATCTGCTTGTATAGTATTACGATTAAAACAAATAAAATTTAAACATTTAATCACATAAATAACATAACAGTAATATAGATATATAGATATATATATATATATATATTTTTTTTTAATTTGAAATAAAAATCTACATTATAACAATCAGTCAAATAAATGTAGCGTTTGTGGAGAAGCAACGTCACGTTATTATTCATTATAGAAATGTTAGCATTTTATCACCACGGACAACAACACGTGCGCGCGTTCGCGTGCGCGCGCGTTGTCCACACGGGGGAGCGGAGAGAGAGAGAGAGAGAGAGGAGCGCGCGACAGACGAGGAAGTGACTGTTGCAGGTGGGCAGCTGTCGGTGCCCCCCCCCCCAGAACACCACCTCCACCTCCACCTCTCCACAGCTCTCCGGGTAATAAATAATTCCCGTGTGTCGTGGTTCCAACCTGCGTGTGAGTGGAAAACGCACGGGACGAGGCCGGCGCACCGCCGATACACTTTAAAAGGCAAATAAAGGAGGAGGAGGTGGAGGAGGAGGAGGAGACCAACCATAGGTGGCAGAAAGAGAGACAGAGACAGACAGACAGAAAGAGAGAGAGAGAGAGAGAGAGAGAGAGAGAGAGAGAGAGAGAGGCACGACGGGAGGTCGCAGCAGCTGCTGTCAGATACCGGGCTCCTCGTTGGCAGCGAGTGTTTTTCTCTCCCTCGGGAGGAGTCGACATGCGGGTAGCGGCGCTGAAGAGGAGGAGAAGGAGGAAGATGACGGTGTCCCGGTGTCCCGTCCGCTGTTGACTCCCTGTAGCCCTTCGCCCCGCGGACCATGAAGGACACGGGGGAATCAAAGGAGCACCAACTGACCGTGAGTCCCAAACTGCGCCGCGTGCTCCTCCCGCGTTGTCCGTCGGCTACTTTTGTCAACGGCCGTTTAGTACAAACACACAAACCCGACACGACTGTTGAGGCCGCGGTTACAGGTTTGTTTCGTTGCGGACTGATTCCAATTGTTGGGTCGTGCCTTTTTACACTCCGGAGGGAGCACGCAGGGACAATGGGCCTTTGTGGGGGGGGACACACACAGGTGCTCCTCCAGGTGTAAAACCTGGGAAAAGTCTCCTTCACAATACTTGTTTGTGCAGAAACATGCAGACATGTCGTTATTTTATATTGACCTTTTATTTTTTGTATTAAAAAAAAAAAACTTTCTTCACTTTTACTCTGAGTTACTTATGGAAGACACCTGTGCATGTAATGCATTCTAGTACAACCAACGGATAACTAACAGCTATGCCAGTGTCCCCCTGCTTTAGGCTCACCTGATAAAGTGTATTTTTCAGGTTGTTATTTTTCAGTAGTGAAGATATTCCTTTTTATATTCCCAGCAACTGCTCTTGTCGGTGTTATATTTTTGGCCCCGCAGCCCCTATCTGAATAATTGAGGTGCTGTTAGAGTTGCCGGGCCTCTCTCTCTCTTGTCCAGCGTGTAATACACTTTCTACAGCGTGCTGACGGAGAAAGTGCCAGGGGACACCATCGCTGTTATCGTTAATCGCTCCCATCAAAAGCTTTCTTATTGATATCTCAATGGAACAAAACATGTAGGAAATTAAATCATGAAATAGTGTGAGTGGTTTTAAAAATAATACAGTTTTCCTCTCAATTGGTGTTTTTGTATCCACCAAATACCATCCAGTGTTCAATAGAAACACAGGAATTTTCCCTCTAAACGATTTTTTTTCTTTTGCTTGTGTGATTGTTGCAAAATTGTCACCGCTTAAATTTCTTTCTGAAAAATGGATATTACTCCGGCTGTGGAGTGATTGAAACGTCGAATGTGGTTGAATTGCATCGTCAAGCCCTTTATCCATCCAACCGGATCACATTCAAACTCATAATCACGTCAAGACTATTTTCAGTTTCTAACTTCACGCATCTTGTGAGCCACACAATGTAAGTGTTCTTTATTATCCGGTCGGATTAAAAAATAATATCTTACACCCTGTGCGTGACATTTTAAAAGATTACTAATGCAATTTTTGTATTTTTTCTTTCATTTTCTTGAATAATTTAATAACAATCTAACGGAAAACACAATTTCTTTATTTTGATGGAATTCACCTGGGAGAAACGAGAGGTATATTCACATGTGTGCTGCTACTGATGACCAGTACTGGTCTTATTTTTATTTTTTTTAACTCACTATTCCTGCAAATTGAATGCTTTTGGCCTGCGCTGAATTTGAGGACTGTTTCCACGCTTCGTGCCGCAGGTCGCCCTGAGGATCCGACCCCTCAGCGACGCCGAGACGGAGGAGGCGGCTGCGGTCGTGGCCCACCGAGTGGACGACCAGGTGAGATGGCCCGCCTTCATTCTACTGCTGCGTGTGTCAGTAACCTGTTCACCTCCATGCGTATGCAGTATGCACGCAAGTGAGTGTGCGTGCGTGCGTGTGCGCTTGTGTGCTCTCGTGCAAGCTCTTTCTGCTCTTTCTGCTTCCTGTGAGGCTGCACAGATAAGGTATCTCCAGGGACCTGGAAAAAAAAAAAAAAAAAACAGACTCTTTTGTAAAGCTCAAATGTCACATTTCTTTTATAGATGAATGAACACTGGATGACTCAGACCAGCAGCAAACGAGACTGAGCTTTCTCGAACGTGCTGATTGAAAGCTTCAAAATGTTTCCGTGGGGTTGGCGGCTGGAAGCTTCGGCGTAGTGAACGGCCGGTGCTTTGATTGGACATCAATTACCGCAGAGCTGCTTGCGCTCCTCGCGCCTGGTTCATTCACCCTCCTTGTGCCCCGTCTGACTTGAGTGATGACAAAGCGTTAAAACAAGAGCAAGTAGTAATCGACCTTTTGGATTCATTTCTCGATTCCAAAGTCATTTCAGTCAGTCAGTCAGTGGTTTGAGACAGTACTTCATAAATGTTGCCCTTTCATAACAGTGGCCAACTGCCAACAAAAAAGAAAAATCAAAGAACAAAATCAATACGGGCAGAACCAGATTGATCGTGACATTACCCACAATGCAACGTGACCAGCGAGGGCTCCGTTACTAGCGTGTTATTACAGCAACAGCTAATGTAGCGACGAGAAGCAGCAACGAGGGTACTAATTCTACCTTTTATCAGCTGCCATCTGGAGCCACAACTTCACACGCCTCGTGTTCACATCCCTTGTTAAGCCCTGTTAACGGACTGTAGCGTGTCCAAATCCCAACAGCCACTTTAATATCATTTATTTCAGAATATCAAGCTGCCATTTTTGTTGCCAAAGTGTGTTCACGAGTACATATTTCAGGGCTTCTACATTCAGACCAGACGGATTTCTGGATAAAAGTGTATTTTAACGTTGACATGTGAAAAAAAGGGTAATACTAACAAAATTAAGCCTGATTGTTGACTCTATTCCCAACGGTGTTGTTTTTGCGCTCATCCCCATTCAGCACGAGGTGGCTGTGTAATTAATTTGGCAGCTGAACTGCTTGAATAGATCCGCGGTGCTAATTGTCTTTTCCATTAGCGTAAAGCGTGACGGGAACCGTTGTGAATACACAAAATGTGCACTTGTTATGATGGCCAGCAGCAGGACTTATTCTAACAACAGGCGAGGAAAAAAAACGATGAACAAATGGGATTCCTCGTCCTCGGGGCTCGGGAGGTCGTTACCGTTTGACCGCGTGAGGAGGACTCCACGTGGGCCGCGTTTATCATCAACCGGCCTCTCCGGGGGGAACCGCTAAACCGCGCTAACGGTGTGAGCGCGTGACGAGGACGATACGGGAGTGCAAGCGATAATGGGCCGGTAGCACGCTGGGGGTGTCGTTGACTCGGCGCGGTGGCTGAGCAAAGATCTTTGGGAAGTGAGAGCGCAGCGGCAGCCGACGCCGGGGACTCGCCTCGGGGCGAAGCGGCAACGGAGGGAAACGTTGTGCCGATTTCGACGAGGGCGCATTTCTGGAAACCGATAATCCGCGGCGCTGAGACGTGACTTGTTTGTCTCCTCAGAAGTAATCGCATTACGCCGGGTCTTCAGGACAACATCAGCACTTCTGTCTGCCACGACATCATTATAGTGGGCTTTGACACGGGGGATTAGAGCATCCCGGCTGGCAGGTGGCGACGGCGCTGACACAGCCAACCTATCGAGGCCTTGTTATTGTCTCCAGCACAACAAAAACATGTTTCATTGTGTGCCTCCTCTTGAACTTTACCTGCTTGTGTCTTGATTTTATACCTGAATATCACGGTTCGTGGACAGACGAACGGGGGTCTGGCCTCCAAGGGGTCGTATCAGGTCCACTCGGGCCCGTTCCACCGCTCAGGATCAGCTTTGATCAGGATATACGCTCTTCTTACCACAGTGTGGTTGAGGGAGCCCTGTCATGAATGGAGTGGACACATGGGTGAGGAAGCAGCAGCAACAACAACAACAACAACAACACCGGGATGCTGTGCAGATGTGTCCTGTGCCTACAATCTCTCTCTGTGCACTGTTTACCTGGTTAGCGAGATATACGGCCCACATGTCTACAGGGCTCAGACGGATTAGCAGGCTCACCAGTGCCACTCGGTGATAGTACCCGCATCGGGCTCTCCTGGCCGAAAACAGACAACTTGAAGCCGACTAAGCCTGCAGGGATGAGCTCATCGGATGGGTTTTACTCCAGGATAAGCCTTCTGCCACCTGCTCTCTCTCTCCCTTGCTATCTCTCTCTCTCTCTCTCTCTCTTCGAGGCTCTGCCTTTCATCGACAACCTTTTACGCACAATGGTCTTTTCTCGTCCTATAGCGAGGGAGGCTGGTATGTGGTTCTGTCATTAACTGCTACATAACTTGATTTCAAGAAAAGGACAATTTAATTTAAAAGATAAATGTGAGTGTAATGTGGGAACAGGGGACAAAGCGTCCACGCCGGCTTTGTAAAGACAACGAAGCAATATGGACCGAGAAAACCACTGAAGAGCACCCGTAGAGACCAGATTAAAATTTGATTAAAAAGAATTGCCTTCACGGGTGTACTCTGAACATTATCTCTTCATGATTTGCAGTTAATGAGCCAACAATCTTTAAACCCACCAGTGTTATTCTTTAATAACAAGAGACCGAGTGTTTGCACCTTTGCAGGATGTGTCTCACTTAGCAGTGGAACTTGTTGGGCACGTCTTTGTCAGAGCCGGCATATCAGTAGCCACACGGTGGGGAATGCTTTATGGCGAGGCCTCGTCTCCATGGAGACACAGAGACAAGGTCAGGGCCTTTGTTTGTTTGTGTTTTTTTTAATTCCTTTTCATCATTAGTGGACTCCTTTGGAAGAACAAATAAAAACAACAGGGGAAGAAGGCTCTATTTCATTTGGGGGGGGGGGGGGGGGTTTGGGGCTTGGCCTGATTGTCTCGCGAGCCAATTCCAAGGAGGGCTTTAACTGTCGGTAACAACAGATCACACGGTGGCATCTCATGGTCATCTCTTCAGAGGGGAATTTGTTGGGTGCAGATAACGGAGGACCTAAAACAACCACGTAGCCTGAAATAAAATAAACAAACTGCGGAAACCGGTGATTCGTTCTGATCCCTGAGAGAATGTCAGCCCGCCCCCGCTCTTTGATTCCTTTTGTGAAGTTTAAGTCCTTTTTTAATACAATTACGGTCCAAGCACGACTACTTGATTACACTCTGCCATGAATTGGCCCATTTTCTGCCTTTTGTGGAGTACAAAGGGAATCTCGAAAGTGGTCTGTCAGTGAAAGGAGAGATTCATCTTCCCATGAAAACAAAAAAGAACAGTGTTATACTCCAAATAAAATGGAACTGCTGTCAAAAGCAGTATGTTACATAGGGGTGTCATGACAACCTCCAGAGGAGGCAAACTGTCATCCGAAAGCACACAGATGACGCACGATCAGAGGCATTATGATGCGTTCAGGCTCTTCTCGGTAAAGGTGACTATTGGGTTATGGTGAATTAGAATGTTACCATGATGTGTTCAAATCTTCTTCACAGCAATAAGAAACATCATGACGCTTACTAAAATAGTTTTGTTTCATATTTTTACTGTGGTACCAAGTTGTGTATTGAGAATAGATTTGAATTTCACTGGTATTGTTATTGACCAAAGTTTAGGTATCGTGACGTCCATTAGGGGACACGACACGATGGACAATGAGATTTAAAAATTGCAAAAATGTCGTCAGCCATTGAATGGAAAATGTGCCCGTTTAGTTGTGCGAACACAGGAAATGTGATTTAATGTGAAGTACGCTCGGAGAGTGAAGTGAGTGAAGGCTGGTTCATGTTCCCTTGGCCCTCGGCTGGAATAACTGTTTCTCCAACACCGATAAAACAGCCTGGTTAAAAAAACGCTTAAATCCATAAACAAGGTACACTTTATGCATGCAGAAGCTGTTTTTTAAATTATTTTTTTTATTTGAATAGCCTCGCGGTTGAACAAGAGAGTGACAAGAACCTCAAATAGTCATGTCCCCCTTAGCTGTGGAGACCTGACCTCCACACACAGATGCGGCACAAAGTGAGATGCGGAAATCGAACCGATTTGGGTCACGCATGTAAGTTGAGTGCTGCCTTCAACACAAACAGAGCGCCTGACCCCCGAAAAGTGGCCGATCTACGCTCGGACTCCACTTCTACCTCTCTGCTTCCTCGGACCCCCGGTCCCTCCCTTGGGGCTCTCTTACAAAACGAGGGCCGTCGTGCGCGTGTTTCGTTCGAGTCGTACGTGATCGCTCCCGACGTCTGCTAATCTCCTCTCGAGAGGGGCTCGGCGGCCGGACACACGAAGGAGACTGGAGTGGCCCCGCTGTGAGAACAGCTTTTAGTACTCGCTTATGGCCTCTGATGACTCAGCTACTGCTGGAAAGCAGTTAATCCCAATGAGTTTCTTAAGCAATAAAGGGAGAAAAACGTATCTTGTGTCCTTGGGGCGCGTCGTGAGTCATCCTGAACTCCGTATGGGGTCGACGAAAAGGCAGAAACCACATCAACTAATTAGGATGCAGATAAAGCATCTTTTCCATTTGGTGTGGGACAGAATAAGGAGTGTTTTCCATCACACGAGCAGAAATAGAGCTTCTTCATTAGAGCTATTAGGTCGTGAAATCGTCCGACTTCCTCTCTAAATCCCCTTCGGACACAGACGACTGTAATCGAAATGAGAGCTAAACAAATACTCTCAAAAGGTGAAACAGCGTGCTGAGTTGGAAGAGCAACAGGTGGCAGATCGGGACAGAGAGCCCCGAGTTGAGGACACACAGATTTGCAGCTCCCGTAAACCAGGTAGCTGTGGGACTAAATCCCTTGGGATGTTTTCTTAATCATACTCCAGTCATAACAACAT